CGTCAGGATCACATAACAATATTATATGTGATTCACGGGGTTATTCTTATTTCTCTCTGTTGGATATTAAATTTAAGGATGTGTCAAAAGAAAGCAAATACTGTTAAAATGGTGTTCTAGAAAATAATGAAAAGTTGCATTATATCGGATTAGATTACTTTAGAGTCTTGGCACTTTTAAAGCTTTTAAACTCTTCGCTTTCTCTTCCAACATTCATTATTTCTTATTATCCTCGTATATCGGCAATTTATTTTTTCTATCTTTTTTTTCATCTCTTGTACTATCTTTCTCTTCTCGAAAAGCCCAGTTTGGATTTTATGTTCTACAAGCATGCTTCTGCACGACTGCGCAAAACATTTGTATCAAGTAAATGGATAATTTCCAGGTAATACGTGAAACTCGCATTTTTGAAAGTAATATCAAATAAACTGATGTAATGTGTGTGTGTGTGTGTGTGTGTGTGTGTGTGTGTGTGTGTGTATTGTGTGTGTGTCTGTAATATATACATTAATTCTCTACTCAATCATATAAGAACGTTACGAAATTGTTATCGAAATTTAATCTTAAATTACTACCTACGACCCTACGAGAGCTGCGCAAATCGTCCTTGATTCTATTGATTCAATCAACATTTCTTAGCGTACGCTTATTCATCACTTTTGATAGCTGATAAAGAATTTGCCTTTGCTGAATTTTTTTTTTTTAGAGAGAATTTATGCTTTTGAACATACATATATCTCTGGAAACAATGGTGGAATTTGTAGAATGATGGGTAGCAGCACATGACAGTGGAATTTTGACGCGTAATTTTTCATTGTTGGTTTTTAATGAGTTATAAAGCTTACGAAATGCTTTTTGTATATATGTTAATTATGTAAAAAATTTTTATAATCATTTTTCTTTCTTTCTTAAGAGATTTTCATAAAAAAACTTTATCAATCTGAATTTTTAATATAATTTAAAATATGCATAACGTCTTAAATTATAAAGCATGTGTACTTGATCAAAAATATCAGATTGTCATTTCAATTATTTACAAAACATAAAATTGATACTAAAGTGATAAAATCAATTTTTGTGTTAGATTTCTTTAGTTTTTCATTTCTTTCTTTGAGTAGTAAAATATGATAATGCTGATACTTCAGCTAATCTTATTTTATTACTGCGAGAGTATTAGCATATAGAATGATATTAATGCATGTAAAATGATATTATCCATGAATGAGAGAATTAAAACGATATGTTCATAATAAGAATAATCATAAAATCAGTAATATCTCAGTTTCCTTAAATCCTATTGCCAAACTTATCAGATCCTTCCAGATATTTTTATTAGAAAAATGTTTTAATATCACGTTTCTATATTCCGTAATTTCTGACAATTTGCAATTGTATAGTCATTTAAAATACATAAGCATCCATATTCAGAGATAAGAATATTACTAACTACATTCAATAATTAACACACGAGTTTTTAAATAACAGCAATTAATTTTAAATAAAGTCCTGGGAATTCATCTTATTCTCTATCTTTTGTCTTCAAAATTCATTCTAAAAATTTTTAAGAAGTCAATTAAAAATCCAATTTAAAATCTTCCATTGTTCTGTTCTGCGAGAAAAAAAGAAGGCTTTGAAAACTGATATTTGCGTTATTTCTGTTCTATATAAGCCATGTATAAGCCATGCTTTGTACACTACACAGAGATACACATTTCACGCGAGTACTATTGTTCCACTTGACAGAGATACGTATCATAGTCATTCACGCGCCTACAAATTAAGAGCGCCGACGCAAAGCGATGATCATGCCGGCGAAACGATGATCGCAGATGTTGATGATTCTAGAAAAATGCGATACATCCGGTATATTTACGGATATTTACATATCTGACGATGGGTAATCCTGTTAGCGTGCTCTTTCAAATCACGCTTCTTTATCTTTCTTAATATTTCTGAAATTGCGTCAGAACGAACGCGAGTTGCGTTACCAATACTACGAAAAACGAGCCATTGAACGATGAGGAATATATAAACCGATAATGCGGCCAGTTTCCTGGCGAGGAAATCGGATTTCAAAGCACGTGCGACGATAATAATAGCGTCATCGCTGGCTACGTCGCGCGGCTTTAAATGCCTCGGCATTAGCATCATCTCCGTATTTGAAGTGTTAATAATCAATCGGTGATGATAAACAAGTCCCTCCTTTTTCGAGAGTTTTAAAATTATCACGCGTTGACACATCTAGAGTTACCATATCTGAATCACAAGAAAAGAGTACATATGTACAGTTTTTAAAAAAATATGATCCAGGAAGAAAAGGATATAATTTGTTTATGCATTATAAATGTAGGTATTTAATAAAAGAATTTCTAAAATATATTTTTCATTAAATTAACAATATTTATTAATCCCTTTAAAAGATCTGATTTTAATGCAATCATTTATAAAACATTTTTTTTTTAATTCGAAGGTACTTTAATAAGCAATTTCTATTAAAGAATTTTTTTTCCAAACATGTATTATTTACATACTTCTGATCTCAAATAATATTCAATAGAGTTAATTTCAAGTTAATTTCAACGAATAATATCTTTAAATTCGATGTATATACATTGTAATGTACACAGGTCTAAAGACATTAATATAATTTTTTATATTTTAATCAAGAAATTTTACGACATTAAAAAGAATACATGTAAATAATAAATGTAAGTCTTTTAAAAGAGGACGGCTAATAACCTATACTTATCGAGTGGGATTCAATTAAACGAATTTGAAACGAAGAAACCGAGAGAGGACAATTCTTACATTAATGTTATGCAATCGACACCACAAACAGAATATCTTTCTTTGGTAAGCTCCTGTAAAGTGATAATAAAAATTCGCAAAGCATAAAACGTATATTAATTGTGCTAAGTGCATTCATCGCACTGTTCAAAGCCTCATGAATAAATTATTATCTTTGACTTGCGTACTTATTACACATGGAAGAGCGATTTTGCTTGAAAGATCTAAAATTTTGTTAGATATCTACAGGAAATACTAAAAATAATTTTATTGAACCATCAAAATAATTTTGCTAGAAATTCGAATTGATTGTTAGAATATCAAACATTTTTGCAGCCTTATTCATCATTTTTTAATTTCCAACATAATTATTTTGATGATCCAAAGTAGTTATTTTTAGATTTATATCCACACTGAAAAGAATTTCTGGCTGAAAATGAACGAATCAAAAAATTCTGATCAATCAGAATTCTGGTTATCATAACTATTATATATATATATATATA